GGAGGATATCCAATTGATCGGGGAGAACTTGCTGCCGCACGCAAGGTCGGTGGCAGAGCAAGTCTCTGCTTAGTGAGTGATGGATGTCCGTCGTGAAGACATGGCCAGAAGCGTGCGCCGGGAGGATGTTGCCTAGCCTGCGGAAGGCACGGAGCCTGGGTTGGAGGTGGACATCGCCTCGAGTTTTGACCGAGCCGAATGTCGTCCCGCCTGGGAGTGAGCCGCCCGTGCCTTCGCCGGTCGCACCGACAGCAGATGCCGCCGATCCGGCCCAATAGCTTGTAAAGTATGAGTAGTTTAGTAAACGTAAAAAAGTTTAAGTTCATGGGGGAGCCCGTGTAAATGTTTCTATGTACTTAATGACTACAGTCGGTTTTGTTTTCTGTGATGGAGTCACTCCGTTCGGGGAAGTTTGTTCCTTTTGTTCCTTAGTTTTCCCTTAGCATAATTTTGTTTTTTATTCTTTCTTTCTCGTACCTGCCCGTTTGTCCCGTAGGCTGCAACCTTAGGAGCCCGAGGCGTGGCCCAGCGAGGCTCAGTTGCTCGTAACTATAGGAAAAGGCGGGGTGCGATCAGTCGGAATGTTTTAAAGTAAAGCTATGTAAGGCAAATTAAAGGAACGAACTACCCTTTTTGATCGGGTAGGAAGGAATTTCACCATATGATAGTAAACAAAATAGAGAGGTAGTAGTGCATCCTCGTGGAGCCCCCCGAGCGATCCGGGCCAAAAAGTGTCCGGGTTGGGGTGCTCTTATCAGAGCAAACGCTAAGTAAATAATGGTAAGACTGAATTTTAGGGGAAGAAAAAACGACATAGCTGTTCCAAGCATTTGGTGAGAATGTCGTTGTTGTTGTCCTTCAGTCGGTAGGTGTCCGGTCGGATCACTTCAACCTTTAGTTGTCCGGATCCTTGCTCGCTACGCCCCCCCCTTCTCGGTCGCTGCTTCTTCGCCTTTTTCTTCCTTCGGCCCGCCGGCCTGCCGCAGAAGGCGCTTGAGGAGCTGACAGTCCTTGTAGAGGTGTTTGACGGGGTAGTCATGGTTGGTGCACGGGCTCTCCATGAGCTCATGGAAGTGGCCTGGAGGGTCCTGCTGGGGCTACGTGCCCGCGTGATCAGCCATGGCGACCAACGCGGAGTTGATCGGTCGGCGGCGATCTTTTCTGTTCTTTTTCCCCCTCTGCGTGGAGGGGCCCTCGTCCTGATCCTGGTGCCTGGCCTTGCCTTTGCCCCGGCCTCCGTTGGAGCGCGGCGGGGGCGGTGCTTGCTGGAGGTGTTGGACAAAGGTCCGTGGTCCCGAGCCATTGGAGGTGTTGGACAAAGGTCCGTGGTCCTAGGCCATCGGGTGAGCTGGATCTGCTCGACTCGATTCCGCTAGTGGCAGTGTCCCGATTCGCCCCGAGCCGTGCATATACAAGCGGTCGGTGCGGAGCGGTCGTTAAGTCAAGACGAGGTGCCAATGCGGCCTCCTGTGCCGCACTCGGCGGTTGTAGCGGTGATCGGGTGGAGCGACCCATCTACTGCGTCCCCATTCCCCTAGTGGGGAGTGAGGCCACGAGTCGGCGTCGTGATACGGAGCTCTCCGCTTGTTGAACAGCAGCGGTCTCCACTAGTGCCCAGAGGTTTCGGTGGATCACCTGCGAGTGCCTCCTCGTGAGGGTCGCTCGATTCGGAGTAGGCCCGAGGAGCGCGGAATGGCTCGAAGACGGGTTAGGTGGGAGTGCGGGAAACTCTATGTGGCGATGTATTCGATTGGCCTCGAGCGAAAAAGTGTGGGGATCACGGACGGCGCTTAAGCCCCCAACAAGTAAATATTCCATGGTGTTGACATGGGGTTTATATTGGTTGCAGCAACGTGCCCTACGAGTGTCAGTGACTTTATTCTGAGCCCAGAGCGGCGACCCGACGAGGCGTGACCCCTCAGTGGGGCCGATTGCGCGAGATTTATGCGCGAAAGGGGCAAGACGGCAGGAGATGTAGTTCAAGTGTGTGCTTGAGATCCGAACTGGCGTTCTGGTCAGGGTGAGCTAGTAAACTTGATCGATCGATTGGTGGTGTAAGAGAGCCACTATTGTCGTGGTTCCTCGCCGTGCTCCCATGTGAGCTCAGGGGTCCCCGCACGATGGTCCAGAGGGCGCGTGAGTCTGCGAGGACTCCGTTACCACCGGTGGCTGTCCTAAAGTGTCCGCCATAGCGCACTCTCGGGACGGACGGTGGCTAGGCGCCATGTCACCGATGCTAGAGCCGTCTCTCTCAACATCGTCATCCATGAGGTCGAGGAAACAAGTGGAAGCATAGCTCGCCATCCCCAAGAATTCTAACGTGAGAAGGGCGGCAGCCTTCCGATCGAAGAGGCTGATCCTTCGGAGCTCCGAGACCGTCTGACGCGTCCATGGAGAGACGTGGAGGCCGTAGGACCGGTCGTATGGCGGTCGCGACGGGGGCACCGGTGTCCCTCCGGGTAATCAGCGGAAGATAGAAAATAGCAAGTAAATAACAACATGTACATTAATCACACGCGAAAAGGGGTTTGATTTTTAGAGAGTTTATTTCGGAATGAAGCACGGATACATATAGCGTCGTCAAGTCGTCGTCCCCGAGTCGATGGAGGGGCGCCCGACAAGTGCCGAACGAGTGCCTCCTCGAAGGTGTAGTCAAGCCTTTGAGCCGATCGGCGACGAAGTCCAGGCTTCCGAGAAGGAAGGCCTAGAATGGCTCGAAGACGGGTGGAGCCCACATCCCAATAGGTGGGAGTGCGGGAAACTCTAGTGAGCCAAAGCAAATCGTATCGCCTGAGCCCGCCATGGCGAAGGTGGCAGAAAAGTGGGTCATCCGATGACCAAAAAGTGTTGAACGATAACGCCTTCCCCACGGATGACGCTTAATCGCTCGATGCTGTAAAGTGACCAACAAGTAAATATTTGTATTTTTTTTTGTCACGTTGTGATCGGAGGTGGCCTAGCACTCAATGACACCTGGTTTTATCTTTGGTTCAGCAGCGTGCCCTACGCCCGTTATTTTTTGAGTCGGTCGGTGACTTTATTCACGAGCCCAGCTTGTGCTCAAGTTCAGTAGTACTGGGGTTACAAACGAGACGGAGAAAGATGGGGTGCACGAGAGGTCTAGGTCGGCTTTCCGGAAAATGCAACTGGCGAAAGGGCCAAGAGCGGCAGGAGCTCCTCTATGAGCTAAGTGTTCAAGCGTGTGCTTGAGATCCGAACATCGGCGGTTATCGTCGATGGTTGTGAGCTAGTAAACTTGGTCGATCTGGATTAACTTGTATGAACTTGAATTAATCGAAGTTTTTTTTAAGAGAGCGCATTCCAGGTTTTTATAGATGAAGGGATGGCCTTACAAGTGAGAGGAGAGAGTACGTATGCTTCTAAGTCTTATTGCCCACGCGGTGACAAAGATAAATGATGATGGTAGGCGCCCACAAAGGTAATTCCAGCCATGATAATGTTATGGTCGGCAAGACTTATCTAGGCGAAGTCCCTAAGAGTCCGTTGGATGTCCGATGCATGTGGGAGGTTACGTCGTCTTTGTTTGGGTATGGCAGATGTTGGCACCTGCATATACTGTTGATGCCCAGAGGCATGTGAGGAGTTTCATCATGTTCACTCGGTATGATAAATTTCGGCGCCCACAACACTATCAATGCCCAGAGGCATGTGGTGGGCCTTACCAGTATGGGAGTTCCAACCCGGCGCCCTGTCATCAGAGAGGAAAATATCGGCGCCTCCCACAATCTGCTTTGCGTCGCCATCCCCATCCAGACGGTTGCCAGGCATGATGAACTTCGTTCTGGTGTACCCTACATGCCGGCGCTCACGGTCTCTGGTATCATGGTTTGACTTGAACGTCTTGCCTTGCTTTCTCCGTTCGTTCCCTGGTCCTTTCTGGGCAGGCGTCCCCGGTCGGTTGGTCCCAGTCGGCTCTGGTTGCGCCAGTCGAAGAAGATCGGTGAGCATAAGCATAAGCTTGTACACCGGGGTGGTTGAACCAGTCGGAGACGCGCCGGGGCTGAGTCGAGTCGGAAGTAGTGCTCTGGCCAGGCCTTCCGATCGAAGAGGTTGTCCCGAGGCGAGTGGAGTCGAGCGAGTTCAGCGACGCCCGGTCGGAGAGGTGGGCCGAGTCGTAAAAACGGTGTGCCTCCTCCGCCCAGGACCTTCCTGGTCGGTGATTGGATCGCCTTCGACTGTTGTCCGGACACTTGGGCCGCCCATGAGTTCTTCGGGTTCATTATCGCTTTCGGACCGAGCCTTTATTGGGAAACGGGTCTCGCGAGGGACCCTAGGTTTATGAACCCAACAAAAATTATTTTGGACAGTGACACGGTCTCCAAAGTATAACTTTGATTGTTTGGTTTTATAAAAATATTTATCGAAAATTGATTATATGTATATTTTTATGAAAGTTTATTTCAAGACAAATCTATTCATATTCATATAGTTTTCGAGCCTGTTTTTGCGGTTGGTTTCTGGACTGATAAGCCCGACTGATGCTTTGGTTTGTGAGAGAAAAACATTGTTGGTTAGCTAATAAGCCTTAACTAAAACCAACGAGCGAACCTGTTCACGTTTCCAAATCCAACAATGTTTAACCCAAGCCTTTCATTTTCAAATACGGAGGAAGTATTTTATTTTTGCTCGAGCTTTGCTATACCATACAAAGCCTATCCACAAAAATAGATACTGAGATACAAAGCCTATCGTTGGTTTCTTGTGTCATGCATTAATTTGTAAGACACCAGCAGTACTGCAGCAGTGCAGCATCAGCGGCTGAGATTAATCGCCTGGCTACGATAAAGATAAAGCCCTTTCCCCATGGCCACTGTCCCTCCTTATCACCAACCACTCAATCATAACTCACGGTCACGGCAAGCAGAGAGACGCGCACCAGACCAATAGAAACGAAAGGGATCTCCGGTCCCCGCTCCGGCTCCGGCTCCTCCCCCTTCCGATTCCAATCTGGTCTCGCCAGGCCTCGCGGCGAGGGAGAGATGGGGAAGAACCAGGCGTACAAGGCGATGCAGCGGGCGAGGGTGGGGCCCTCGTCCGGCGCGCCCGGCGCCGCCGACGCCCCCGAAGACGGCATGGTCGGTCCCCTTCCTCTCCCCTAGCAGATCTCTGATTCCCATCCGCACTTCCGAGTTCCAGGCTCGCAATCCATCCTGATCTGATTATTTCCCCGCAGCCCATTAGTATGCTAATTATATATGGTAGAGTAGGATTCCAGCTGTTGAGGAATTTTGGCTATCATCCCACTTTCAGTTTGGGTGAAAAAATAAAGAAAAAGAACTTTGGCTAACGAGAGCCGTCGCAGACGGACGGTTCATTTCATTCTCCAGAGTGGCATGCGGCGCGCCTGGCCAGCCTTAACAAGACGCACACCGTAACCTGGGAGGAGTTCAAGAAGAAGCAGAAGGTACACCCGCACGTTATTTTGCTTGAGCTTTAGTAATCTGTCTCTTGCTCATGTTTACAGCTACAGCTTGCGTTCTTGCACTCCAATATTTAGTGTATCAGTAGTACTAACTACTGAGTCACCTTTGTGTTCTGCTCTTCTAACTTGCTCATCAAAAGTTATGACCAAATTTGCTCATGTTAGTTTATGTTCTGATAATGTTTATTGCCTTTCTAGATCATTTAGTAAGTTACTTTAGATGAAAATGCAACTGGCATAATTGGATATTTACTATTTAGCATCCTGAAGTTTTGCCCTGGCAGTCTAGTACATGCTCATTTCATGTGCCGTCCACTTCGGTGTGACCTTCCCATAATTTAATATGTCAGACGCCATGATACATAACATTCACATCTTTCACATGTCATCGCTCAAAATAACAGTTTCCCATCATGGTTTCGATGTTTTGGCTTGGGTGATTCATATGTTGACTGTTGAGTCACTCATAAGTAGTAATTCTCAACCGTGGTGTCTTTATAGGCGAACCTTAGTAATTCCAAACAAGGCCTTTTCAGCATTTTTCAGGTTCTCAGTTTTATTTGCAACAGATTCCAGGTTTCCAGCACTCAATACCACTATTTGGTTAAGCATACTGCGCCTTTTAATGTTAGCAGCATATGTTCTTACTCCAAGGCTGTATTCTAATTGCCAAAGTTTTTTTTATAAGTAGTTCTGTAGTTGTTGATGGTATTCTTGTTCACTGTCAGGAAGAGGAACTGAAAAGGGGTGAGCTGGAGGCTGACAAAGATAAAATGATGAGGGAGTATAGAGCTCAACTGGATGCTGAAAGAGCTCAGAAGCTAGCAAATGGAAGAAATCACTCGAGCTCAAACTCAAAATCATCATCTTCGAAGAAAGGTAACGGGCTATGATAACCTGCCAAATGATAATACCTGTAATGTTAGGATCTTAGTATTTCCATCATTTGCCATTCTTCGAATAAATATATTGCATCTGTTAAATGGTTCTGCTGACAAAAGAATTTTGAAAACAGAGAGGAAGGATAAGGATGCAAAGAAAAGAAGTAAAAAGAGGAGAAAGGTATACTCTAGCTTATGACCTGCTTACTTGTGGAATTATTGTGATCTGCCTAATGGAAATATATTTAGTTATGATAATCCTGATCTAGGTACATTAGTTTTTATTTTCAGATAGCATGAACTGAATACTTTCCTACTAGAAGAGCTTGAAGAACAAAAGATCCTTACTAAAATTAGCCTGAACAGTACATCACTTACTTTTCTTACTTTAATTTTGTTGGGTGCACTCACATTTAAATCTTTAACAGCACAGAAGTTCATCAGAGTCAAGTTCCAGCTCATCGTCGGAATCTTCAAGCAGCGATGATGAGGATAGGGGTTCAAGGAAGTCCAGATCACGGTCGAAATCGAAGAGAACAAAGAAGGAAAAGAAGCACCGATCAAGGTCCAAGCGCAGAGACAGTGAAAGTGAGGAGGAAGGTCCAGTTCGCCTCTCCAAATTCTTTGGGAAGTAAGGAGTAGATACTGTACCCAAGACACCTTTTCAATTTTCATTTGACCATAGATTGGTGGGTTTGGATGTATCATTCAATACAGATTACTTCTGAAGGTTGAGCGGATCAGTTACCATGATGTTGTTCTCAATAGAGTGCTCAACAGTTAAGAGTGTCTGGTTAAGTTGTGTGGCTTCGTGAAACTTTGTAAGCAACTGGTAAGTCATTGTTAAATTGTTGTACCTTAGAGGATTTGATGCCAATATTTGAAATATTTGAGAAATTGAACTGCTATAGTTATCTTAAGACTTCACATGCCCAGTCAGTGGTTTCTGTGTGTTCCGGCTATGCTCTTTTGCTATGGTGCTATTTCGTTTCGAATTTGTAAACCTTCCAGCACCTTGCATGGCGAGGAAGGTTGTGTTGGCTTTTATCAGCGAAGGGTTGCAATTTGCAAACCTCTGTGTATTTATGACTTTCAAGGAAAGAAAAGAACGAGATCCTACTGAAAATTTATGTAAAGACAATGGCAAACACCGAAGGCGATCCTAAGCAGCTAGCGCAAACCAAGGCTAACATCCAAAATCTACCACCGAGAAACACCACCACACCTGTACGGCTGTACAAGTCTCGGCTCAAGCCACTACCACATACAGCTAGGTAATCCAACGCCAGTGGCAACTGGCAACTCGACATCAGGGCTGAAAATCAAAATGCTACTTGCGTCAGGAAAAGCTAACTCCTCCCAACTTCTCTCTCTATTGTTCACTTTGCATCTTCAGAAAAGCCCTAGACATATTCCATCAACCATCAGCAGCCTATTCGTTTGGCTGTGGCTTGTCGTAAACGATCGTAAATTTTTAGTCGGAACAATATTTTTTCTCACACAAACCAGCCAGCAGTACTTCTTCACGAACCAGCCAACCGAACAGGCTGCAGGTCGGCAACGCAACCGTATTATATGGAACAGCGCCGTTGCCTGATCTGCCCTTGTGTAAACCTGCCCGATATAAGAGATAAATGAACATGCCAACCAAATGACCTCAGTAGGAGATCTAACTAATTTCTTTTCCAAAGCAAACATTATTCGTTGACCTCCAAAGGGCCTAGCAAATGGCAGCAAAGCCTAACCATGTAAAACTCTTCTGACCCATTAGGGCGCCGTTAAGGCGTGTTGTATTAAATTTTTTTCTCTACCTTAATACAAAGACGCGTGCAAACCTTTTGCGTGATTGAGAAAAAAAAACCATGTAAAATTGCTTTCCCTTAGGCAAATACAACTTACACCATGCTTAGAATGTGTTTTGGCGGCGAAACGTTTTAGATTCTCAATGAATCACTTGAACCGATTCTTGTTTTTTTATTAGTCTAGAGAAACACCCAAAACTTGGTTTCTCCTTATTTTAATTGTAGTTTCAAAAATCTAGCAAGCTAGCCAAATACAACAACAACAACAAAGCCTTTAAGTCCCAAACAAGTTGGAGTAGGCTAGAGTTGAAACCCATCAGAAGCAATCAAGGTTCAGGCACATGAATAGCTGTCTTTCAAGCACTCCTATCTAAGGCTAAGTCTTTGGGTATATTCCATCCTTTCGAGTCTCCTTTTATTGCCTCTACCCAAGTCAACTTCGGTCTTCCTCTGCCTCTCTTCACGTTATTATCCTGACTTAGGATTCCACTACGCACCGGTGCCTCTGGGGTCTCCGTTGCACATGTCCAAACCATCTTAACCGGTGTTGGACAAGCTTTTCTTCAATTGGCGCTACCCCTAATCTATCACATATATCATCGTTCCGAACTCGATCCCTTCTTGTATAACCGCAAATCTAACGCAACATACGCATTTCTGTGACACTTAGCTGTTGAACATGTCGTCTTTTCGTAGGCCAACATTTTGCACCATACAACATAGCAGGTCTAATCGCCGTCCTATAAAACTTACCTTTTAGCTTCTGTGGTACCCTTTTGTCATATAGGACACCAGACGCTTGCCGCCACTTCATCCACCCTGCTTTGATTCTATGGCTAACATCTTCATCAATATCCCTGTCCCTCTGTAGCATTGATCCTAAATATCGAAAGGTATCCTTCCTAGGCACTACTTGACCTTCCAAACTAACATCTTCCTCCTCCTGAGTAGTAGTGCCGAAGTCACATCTCATATACTCAGTTTTAGTTCTGCTGAGTCTAAAACCTTTGGACTCCAAAGTTTCCCACCGTAACTCCAGTTTCTGATTCATTCATGTCCGGCTTTCATCAACTAGCACTACATCGTCCGCGAAAAGCATACACCAATGGATGTCCCCTTGTATGTCCCTTGTGACCTCATCCATCACTAAAGCAAACAAATAAGGGCTCAAAGCTGACCCTTGATATAGCCCTATCCTAATCGGGAAGTCATTCGTGTCTCCATCACTTGTTCGAACTCTAGTCACAACATTGTTGTACATGTCCTTAATGAGCCCGACGTACTTCGTTGGGACTTTATGTTTGTCCAAAGCCCACCACATAACATTCATTGGTATTTTATCATAAGCCTTCTCCAAGTCAATAAAAACCATATGTAGGTCATTCTTCTTCTCCCTATACCGCTCCATAACTTATCTTATTAAGAAAATGGCTTCCATGGTTGACCTTCCAGGCATGAAACCAAATTGGTTCATAGAGACCCGCGTTATTGCTCTCAAGCGATGCACGATAACTCTCTCCCATAGCTTCATAGTATGGCTCATCAACTTAATTCTCCAGTAATTAGTACAACTTTGAATATCCCCTTTATTCTTGTAGATTTGTACCAATATACTTCTCCTCCACTCATCAGGCATCTTGTTCGATCGAAAAATATGGTTGAACAGCTTGGTTAGCCATACTATAGCTATGTCACCGAGGCATCTCCACACCTCGATTGGGATACCATCCGGTCCCATCGCTTTACCTCCTTTCATCCCTTTCAACGCCTCTCTGACCTCAGATTCTTGGATTCTCTGCACAAAGCGTCTATTGGTGTCATCAAAAGAGTCATCCAACTGAAAGTTTGTGTCCATATTCTCACCATTGAACAATTTGTCAAAATACTCTTGCCATCGATGTCGGATCTCATCCTCCTTCACCAAGAGATGCTCCCTTTCATCCTTAATGCACTTAACTTGGTTGAAGTCCCGTGTCTTTCTCTCATGAACCCTAGCCATCCTATAAATGTCCTTCTCTCCTTCCTTCGTACTCAAATGTTGGTAAAGATCCTCGTACGCTCTACCCTTTGCCACACTTACAGCTTGCTTTGCAGTCTTTTTTGCCACCTTGTACTTCTCTATGTTGTCCACACTCCTATCATGGTACAAGCGTCTATAGCATTCTTTCTTCTCCTTAATAGCCCTTTGGACTTCCTCGTTCCACCACCAAGTATCTTTAGCCTCGCCTCCATTTCCTTTGGTTACTCCACACACCTCTGAGGCCACCTTCCGAATGTTGGTTGTCATCTTCTCCCACATGTTGTTTACGTCGTCTTCTTCCTTCCAAGAGCCCTTTTTGATAACCCTTTCCCTGAATACCTCTGACGTCTCCCCTTTCAGTTTCCACCACTTTGTTCTTTCAATCTTAGCTTGTTTATCCCTACGGACACGCACCTGAAAACGAAAATCTTCCACCAAAAGCTTATGTTGAGAAACAACACACTCCCCTGGTATCACCTTGCAATCCAAGCATGCTCATTTGTCCTTTCTTCTTGCGAGGACAAAGTCAATCTGGCTACAGTGTTGTCCGCTACTGAAGGTCACTAGATGAGATTCTCTCTTTCTAAAGAAAGTGTTGGCTATCATTAGGTCAAAAGCTACCACGAAGTCCAGAACTTCCTCCCCCTCCTGATTCCTACTACCATACCCAAAACCTCCATGAACTGCCTCGAAACCTGCGCTTGTAGTACCTACATGCCCATTAAGATCTCCTCCTATAAAAAGCTTCTCACTACTAGGTATAGCTCTAACCAGGCCATAAGTCTTCCTAGAACTGTCTCTTAGCACTCTTGTCGATGCCTACTTGGGGGGCATACGCACTAATTACGTTCAAGACCATATCACCAACGACAAGCTTGACTAAGATAATCCTATCTCCTTGCATTCTCACTCCCACCACATCATTCTTGAGGCTCTTATCAATCAAAACTCCTACTCTATTTCTATTCGCGACTGTCCCTGTGTACCAAAGCTTGAAACCTGTATTGTCCACCTCCTTCGCCTTCTGACCCTTCCATTTAGTCTCTTGAACGCATAATATATTTACACGCCTGCTAGTCGCGGTATCAACTAATTCTCTTAACTTACCTGTAAGTGACCCTATATTCCAACTACCTAAACGGATCCTAGTTGGTTCGACTAGCTTCCTTACCCTTCAGACTTGTCGACTCGGCGAAGACCCTTGCTCATTTTTCACTACACCGGCGACGATGTAGTGCGCCACTAAGATCACTTGACACCATGCCCGAGATCACGACACGGGCGCGTCACGGGGTGACGACCCGGCCCTTGCCCATTTAACACCATACCCGGGTTTCGATATGGCGCGTCGCTAAGAGGGTTACGCCCCAACGATTTTCTTTCAGGTTTTATCTCCATTAAAGTGGCTAAGTTTTTACATTAGTTCGCCATGCCTAACACAACCCTCCCCCTTTATCAGGGCTTGGGACCTGCTATGCTGGGACACCAAAGGCGCCTCACCATAGGTGGAGTTTAGCGAGCTAGCCAAATGGTTCCACAAAATGATAGAAATGTTTCTGAAGAGAATCTGGATCTGAAATGTTTCTATGAAATTCTGGATCCAAAACGTTTTTAGAAAAATTTGAATCCCTACCAAAGGCACCTTAGAACTGATCAAAAGATTTTGGTTTACCGTCAGCTCCAACCACAACCGACACAAGGCTCCAAAATAGACATTGAGCAGCTGAACAATTAAATGGCAAATAAATTCATCTTCCTCACAATGTGTGAATTTCTTTTTTTTCAAGAGTTGGCTCAGCTTGATTGTTACTCG